TCCCAGCACTCTTTAGTAAACTGGAGACCCCTCATGTGTATTTGCTGGCTATCCTCCAAACTCAGGATTATGCTGGCCAATGCTTTTTCATTCTTTCTCCGGTTCCCATCATCCAGGACTGCAGGTGGATCAGCAACTATCATCCACAACTCCTCCCTTTGCAAGTACATCTCCATTTTCAGATACCAGGAGAGATAGTTTGTCTCATTCAAACTCCTGGCTCTTTAGATTAACCAAGAGTGTAGTTTTATTGAAAAATCCATGTAGGCACGGCAAACTCTGGGATTTTTCCTGTGAAAACCCACATAGGTAACTCCCCTTTTCCCCTCTGAGCCACCTATAGTTCATAGTTCACCAACTGAGTTCAGTTCTTTTGCTTTGGGAAAAGCTGTCTGCTTTGATCAAAACATTCTTCATCATTTGGCCTTGTCAGATAATGTCTTCCTGACAACAGACAGTTCACTTGCATTCTAGTGCCTCCCTCCTCCCTTAGGAATTCACCACCCTCTTCCCGTCACTGTTTGGCAAAGTGAGTCAGGTTTGACATTTCCTTTCTTTGGTGTTGGCATATAAATCTATTTCAACTGAAGTTGAACCCAGTTGTTGTCCAATTTTGCAGGCAGAGTTTGGTTAGAACTGCTACATATTCTTCTGTTGTTTGACATATTTCTGTAGATATTCCATTATTTTTTGTAGTCTGCTGACTTGGTAATGACTAGAGTGTTGGTCTAATGTCATTTTAATATTAGAGGTTCTGGTAAGTAAGTAATATCTCTTAAGAATATTGACATCATTACTATACAGAATTTCAATACACCATTTCCTTCTTTGTTTGATCTTTTTAGAAGTGATTTTACCATACTAGTTTAAGGTTGAAATCTCCTTCTAAGGAGGAGATATTTTAGAAGATTTCTAGGACATATTTTAGAAGACTTTGTTTTCCCCATTCTGAATCCAGTATCTTTACAAATATTATTGTAATACTGTTCCTTACTTTTTCTAATAGATTTTTTGACATTTTGGGTAATGTTCCTTCCTGAGATCTTTGACTTTCTTGGTTTGGTTTCTTTTCATTTCTTGGTAATTTCCTCTATTTGTTTTAACATTTGATTTCCTTATTTAGTTTCTTGGTCTTTAGCAGTCTGTTTTCACTTTTATCCTCTACCTCATAGTTGTACAACCTTTTGGTTTGTCTGGGCTACATGGAGTGAAGAGGAATTGTCTTGGGGTGGTTTATTTTTTATATTTTATCTATTCTTTATTATCTTGGATGCATTACTAGCTGTTCAAGTTCACATGCAGTCCACAGGCCACATGTTGGACAAGGCTGCTCTATATCTTCTTTAATTTCAAAAAGATTCTTTGGTTCCTCATTACTGAGAAGTAGGATTTCAGTGTGATTCCTGATATTTTCGTGACACTGGTACCTATAGAGTCAACATCATATTGTAGAAACTGGTTGACTTTCTTTTTCAACTCTAGCTTAACTTTGAACTTATGCATGAGAAGTTAGTGATCTGCTCTACAGTCATCTCCAAGCCACCTCTTTGCTATTATAATTTAACTATTCTACCCCCATGTAGCAAAGATACAGCACAAGAAATGATGCCATAGAAGGAAAAAACATAATGTCCGGAAAAAAATTAAGCATCCAAAATTTACTACAATACAATGGGGGCAAGAATAGACTCTAGGTAATAAAAACAAAGGACAAAGTAATTACTTAAATACTTTAAACATAGGATACTGAAGTTCTTCATATGAAGAATATATGTATGTGTTTATGTGAATGTAAATGTATGTGAATATAAATAAAATTGTACATCAGTCAGAGACAAATATCATAGAAGAGGAGAAATAAAAATGTAGACACAGTAAACAGATTTGAAAGGGCATAATTCCTGTACCATTATTGCCCAATACCAGTGACTGCCTTGTATGCTAAGATACTTTTATACAACAGGGTAAATATGAACATGCTTTAAAACTCTCCTTCAATATTATGTGGGAAAGTAAGAAATATGTGATTAACAATACAATTGTACATTACAGGGAACTTAGTTCCAGCTGAATGTACTTAAGTCAAAAAAGTGAAGGTATGAAATAGTGGTGAGCTTTTTTGAGTGTCAATGTAGTTTCTCACATCCTTTTTCAGGCAAGGGAAAATAATAAAAGAATTCAGCTTGGTTCTAAAGAAGATTAGTGCTTACTTTTTTCTATATGCTGAAGGAAAAATATTTCTCTTAAAACAACTTTAAAACAAGAAACTTAAGATACACTTACATTGAAGAATAATTTGATTTATTGACAGGTAGTACAGGAGTTTCATCCCTATTTATAGAATTATGCAAATAATTTCAATAGTTATAGCAGTCAGTTTCATCTAGTGCTTAAGGTACCAGGCTAGAACTCAGGAGACTGTAAGGACCCGCCTCAAGACTTCTTCACAAGAAAGCAGAACTCTTAAATATTATTTAGCCTTTTTATAATTTGTAATGATTGTTTTTTCTTTCTTTCTTTCTTCTTTTTCTTTTTTATATATATACATTTTTAATGTATTATTATTCATATATTTTTTTTTTTATATATATATATGCTTTATTTTTCGTCTACTTCTTCTTTCTTCTTTCTCTCTCTCTCTTCTCTTTTTATTTTTTATTTTTTTTCTTTTTTAGTATATATTATTCATTTTAAAGTTTATGTTATGTATATTATTTCTATATATATTATTACTGTGATTTTTATTATTATTATTAATTATTTTATAAATTGCAAATGTTATTTTTAAAATATTTGTTAAATAATCCTATATTCAGTTCTGGGAAGTCGGGGGGGGGGTGGGGTGGTTGGGGAGGGGGGGGTGGATTTTTATTTGTAAAACTTTTGAAAAATTTCAATAAAAAAAAAAAAAAAAAAAAGAAAGCAGAACTCTTGGGACAGATTCATCCCAAAAGGAACTTTTATTAGGAGAAGTTGACAGCAGGCATAAAAGGCAGGATCTGAGGGTTTCCTGCTCAAATCAATAGATTAAAGGAGCAAAAAGCAAACCACACCCCAACAGTTCATCCGGTCAGTTCAAACGGGCCAATCCCCAGGTGTTAAGTCTGCTGTGGGAATGAGGCTGATAAGATTCCATTCCCAAGGCTGTGAAAACGTTGTTGAGTCTTTGCACTTTCTCTTCTGCAGCGAGAGATAAGCCAGATGGCCAGAGGCACATTCCTTTCTCACCCAGGTTGGCATCAAGGGGAGAATAGTTCAAAGAGCAAGCAGATAGGGGAAGCGGAGAGGATACATTGTAGCAGCTAAGAGAAAGGCAATACACATACAATTCCCCCAACCCCCCCCCCCAGGAGTTTGGCAGAACCCATAGAAAGGAAAAGAAAAAGAAAAGAAAAAAAGAAAAAGCACCCCCACCAAAGAAATGGGTTCTGAGATTTAGTTTTAGCCTTGGCCATGAAAGCCAGCTGGGTGGCATTGGGCTTATTACTCTCTCTCAGCCTAACTCATTTTACAGGATTGTTGTTGTGGAGAAAATAGAATGAGAAAAATGTGTTGGATATATCAGTGCCTTGAAGTTATTTGTAAAATGAATACGTAAATATGCAATTTGTCATAGCAGCCAACATGACTGATAAAATTAACATTATTGAGATAATTCTTATACATATTAAAATATTTAATGAATGATGGATAAATGATTGATTCTGCATAATAGAATTTTTAATATAAATAAAGAACCTTAGAATTATAACAAATTATTTTAACATCACCGTTCTCAAAAGAAATCTGGATCTGAGTGCTTAATGCTAACAATCTTCTTAGCATTTGTGGTGAGCATGCATTCCTCTACTTTGTTTATATCTTGTTATTAGCTACAGCTTAGAATTCCAGGTACCCAATAGTTTATAGGTAAATTTGATATATTGATCATTAGAAAATACATGTAAATTGGGGCCCATGGTTAATTTATTCAATTTACCCTCACAAGGCATTACTGATTTCAAAAGGATTTGTTGATACTGTTTGTTCGTTTATGAAAAATTATATGGTTGCCAATTCACTCTCAGTGACTCTGGCAGCACAAGATAAAAACTCAATACAAAAACAATAAAAACAATCAATATTCCCCCTCCCTTGGTGACAACATACAATGCATTCTTCCTCTGGAATTATTGAGCAAACTTACTTTTCTTACTGCTTTCTAAAGTGTGTGTTAGAAACCATGTGATGAAAAGGAATTGCTGTACTGGTACAATTCTTTTCAGAGAAGGAAACTATGATGGAATTTTTGCACTGCTGTGATGAATTCTGATATTTATTTAAGATATAAGGTGGCTGAGAATACATATGAATGTTCGAACTTTCTTTGTATAATCATCTCTCTACCTGTTTTGGCTTACCTTGCTTTAGTCCAGTCCCAAATGAATATCTTATGAGAGAATTCCTCTCATGGAATATTTGTAGATTGGGATTTATGAACATTCAGACAAATTGCAGTGCAGTTTATCAGAAAATTAACTGCAGCGTTCTCACAAGGAAATTCAAAAGCAACCCAGATACACTTATAATAGTTCTAAAATACTGAGAATAAATAGAAAACCTAACAAAGTCTTCCTAACAAAGAAGATATTTAGGAAAGCAGAGGATTGGTTTTTTTTGGAGGGGGGTGAATTTTGAATTTTTTGTTTTCATTGTTAAGAGATTTTCTTTTTTTGTAAGTTTAAAATATACTGTTAAAATAGCCAAGTTCTAAAAGAATTGCTAGACTGTGGAGAGGAAATTGGATTTCCCATTATTCTGTTTAGAAGTTCTGTATTGATTTCTAAGGAAAGATGGAAAAGTGTTGGATGCTAATGCATTCTCAGATTGGGATCCAATGGCTCATAGCTCCAGTCCTGATAGAGGATTTGATTTATAATTCTTTTACCTTTTAAAATATTAGATAGGAACTTGGGATTTGAATCTGATTCTTACTTTATTTTTCTCACTTTACATACCAGGACCCCCCTCTGCTCCTCGGAGTGCCACCTCAAATGTTAACAAGACTAGTGTATTTCTGGAATGGATTCCTCCTGCTGATACTGGTGGAAGGAAAGATGTGTCTTATTATATTGCATGCAAGAAGTGCAACTGGCACTCTGGGCTCTGTGAGGCATGTGGCAATCATGTCAGGTACCTTCCACAACAAAGAAACCTGAAAAACACCTCTGTGATGATGGTAAACCTGCTGGCTCACACAAACTATACCTTTGAAATTGAGGCAGTGAATGGTGTGTCCGGCCAGAATCCAGCTACACGGCACTTTGTTTCACTCAATGTAACCACAAACCAGGCAGGTAAGTGCAATTTCACACAGATAACTAGGTTTCTGAGATGAAGTAGGCTATAATTCTTTTCCAGGTTAGAAGGTGCATAATAGAAAGCTGCTTGAAATAATAATTTGCTTTCAGTAAAGAACATCTTTTCCTCTCTTCTTTATCTTGGATTAAGAAGCATGCATTAATAAGCGAATAATAATAAAATGTTTCTTCTCGTGTTAATGAATCATGCAGGGATAGATTTTCAAAGTAGATTTTCACCATCAAATTCTCATAAAATATAAAACATTCAATTGTTACCACTTGTAATAGAAAGGCTGATGAAATCTACACATATTTTTCCAAGAACATTAATATAGCAGTTAATTTGTTTACAACTATTGTTTGAAAAGGAAAAAAAATAAATGTATTTAGTTCTGTTAGTATACATCTTCTATAGAATATCACTATTAGATATTGTCAAAATATAAAGCACACTAGTTTACATTTTTTATCATTTTATTTTTACTGTGGTTTCTTTTACAAGAAATAAATTGTTTCTATAGGTGGAAGGATATATTCTGACAAGCATAAGATATTTATCTGAGTTGCCTCTGTTCTTGAAAAGTTGAATTCTCGTGTAGAAGAGGTAGTAGAAAAAAAAGTGGAATTGATGGAGGGAAAATTTGAAAGTATGGAAAAAGAGATGAAAAATTTTCAAGATGAAATTCTTATGCTTCAATATAAACAAATGGAATATGCCTTAAGAATCAGAGGTTTGGGTGAGTCTGTGCAAGGAGATCTGAGAGAGATGGTTGCAAAGGACTTTGCTGTGATTTTGAATAGAGAAAAAGAGGAAATACTTAGTGAAATGGAACAGACATTTAGAGTTAACTCTGTGGTGGCAGAGCAAAAGAATTTGCCAAGAGATGTGGTAATTTACTTTGGGAAAAGATCTCTGCGCAATGAAATTATACAAGCTTTTTATAAGAAGAGGTTTCAAATTGCTTCACAAGATGTTATAATTTTAAAGGAGATCCCATCTAAAATTTTAAGAAGAAGAAAGGAGTTTGCTTTTTTAGCAGACGAACTTAAAAAGAGACAAATTTTGTTTAGATGGGACGTTCCGACTGGAATGGTGGTGAGTTACCTGGGGATACGTTATAGTCTTAATACTGTTTCTAAAGCAAAAGACTTTTATACTTCGGTCCTGGGGGTATGCTCATCGCCATCTACCATGTTCAAAGCTTTGGAAGATAAAAAGGCAGAATTGCAGTCTGAACTGCTTACACTTATGAAAATTGGGAAACTTCAGTTTGAGGGGCCTCAACAAGTAGAGATGGAGGAGCAGAAGACAACCTGTGTAACATACAATTGTAAAGAAAAGGATCAACAGAAGAAGGTCAAGGAAGTTTCTCAAGTATTGGTTCCTGAATCTGCGGGAGAAGCAGGATTTATAAACTCTTTGGAGCAACCTTTAAGGGCAGAATTGCAGTGTGAAGAGCCTATATTAATTAAAAAGGGGAAATTTCAGTCTGAGGGGCCTCAACAAGTTGAGATGAAAGAGCAGAGGACAACTCGTGCAACATATAAACGTAAAGAGAAAGACCAACAGAAGAAGGAGGTTAAGGAAGCTTCACAGCTATTGGTTCCTGAGCTTGTGGGAGAACCAGGACTTACAAATTTTTTGGAGCTATCTTCAAGGGCAGATTTTAAAGCATTTTTTTCGAGGTTTATGGACAAGAGAGATTGATAAGGATTGTGTTTATAGTGGATGGAACTGGCTATTGGAGAGAAGATTATGGAGATCGAATGAATTTTAGATAACAAGTTTAAGTTTAAGTACTTAGTTTAAGTACTCAGAAGACTATTGAATTGTGGGAGAAGTAAGATTTACAAACTTTTTGGAATTACCTTTAAGAGATTTATGGACAAGAGAAGGAATGTGTTTATTGTGGAGGAATTTGTTATTGGTAAAGATTTAAACAGGTATAAGGGAATTTTAATGTTTTAAGTAATGTTTAAATATGTGTTTTGGGGTAATAATATAAGTATGATATGAAAAGGTTTAGAGTATATTATAAAATGATGGACAATGGTTTAGAGTATATTATAGTTTGTTTAAAGATTGGTTTAAGAGAAGTTAATTTGTTTAATTAAACGTATTTAGATTTGTTTAGGATTTATATGTTTTTTAAGTCCTTTTTTTATTGATAGGAGAGAAGATCATGGAGATTGAATGAAAATTTTAGATAAGAAGTTTAAATATAAGTATTTAGTTTAATTATTTAAATGGGTATCCAGTTTTGATGGTATAATGAATGTTTATATGCTTATTTTTGTGTTCTAGAGTAAAGAAAGAGGGAGATTAGATTTTATATTGTAGGTATAGATATTTAAAGAAAGTAATGTTTAAATTTGTGTTTTGGGGATTCTTTATAGAATGATGGATAATAATATAAGTACAATATTAGAAAAGGTTTAGAGTATATTATAATGTGTGTTTAATGTTTGCAATTATTATCTTTTGGAGAAGATATTTTGTTCAATTTAATGTATTTAGATTTGTTTAGGATTTATATGTGTTTTAAGTTTTTTTTATTTTTTATTTTCTTTGAAAAATTTTAATTAAGCCTGTACTCAGCTCTGGGAAGGTTGAGGGGGGGTATGGGAGGTTTGGGGAGATGGGGGAGAGCATGGGAGGGTGGGGGGTTTGGGGAAGGGATTTGCTTTGTAAAATTCAAAAACTTTTAATAAAAAAAAAGATATTTATCTGAGATAAGAAAACAGAAACGCATCAAAGTGCCCCTAATAGGAAATATTTGCACATGATGTAATACAGGTAGTCCTCAAGTTACGAGTGTAATAGAGACTGCCCATTATATTTGTAACTTGAAAACTCATGGGAGTGAATCTCGTACCTTGAATGAAATTACTCCCTTGCTCATTAAGTGAATATGAAGTAACTCAGGGTGGGAAAGGCCATGGAGGACCTGGTGATGGAACAGGACTCCAAGGCCTTCTCAACCCACTAAGATACCGCATGCTTCCCCTTCCCTTCCCGCTGTGCCGGAATCACTTGGAAAAAATCTTACTCGTCTCTGCCGCGATTCCTGCTGCCACCCAGATCTAAGGCTGGGGAACAATTCTTCACCCTGCCACAGCCCGATCTGGGCTCTTGAAGCCTTTTCCAGGACGTTGCCACCCAGATCTGAAGCTAGCAAATGCTTCCACGCCCCCTCTGTGGCCCGATCTAGGCTCTGAAGGCCTTTTCCAGGCTGCTGCCACCTGGATCTAAGGCCAGGGAATGCTTCTGCGCCCAGCCACAGCCCAATCCAGGCTCCAGGTGCCTTTTCCAGGCTGCTGCCAACCAGATTTGGGATTGGGGAATGCTTCCGTGCCCCCCCATGGCTCGATCTGGGCTCTGGAGGCCTTTTCTAGGCTGCTGCCATCCAGATCTATGACTGGAGGATGCTTCCATGCCCCATCATGGCCCGATCCAGACTCTGGAGGTGTTTTCCAGGCTGCTACCATCTCTATCTGAGGCCAGGGGATGCTTCCACAGCACTCCACTGCCTGATCAGGCCTGGTAAACACTTCCAGAGCCTAGATCGGGCCATGATGGGGCATGGAAGCATCCTCCGGTCATAGATCTGGATGGCAGCAGCCTAGAAAAGGCCTCCAGAGCCCAGATCGAGCCATGGAGGGGACACAGAAGCATTCCCCAGCCTCAAATCTGGGTGGCAGAGCCTATAAAAGGCCTCCAGAGCCTGTATCAGGTTGCGGCGGGGGGCAGAAACATTCCCCGGTCATAGATATGGGCGGCAGTGGCTTGAAAAAGGCCTCTGGAGCCTCGATCGGGCCATGGAGGGTGTGTGGAAGCATTCCCCAGTCTCAAATCTTGATAGCAGCAGCCTGGAAAAGGCCTCCGGAGCCCAGATAGGGCTATGGAATGCGTGCAGGAGCATCTCCTGGTCATAGATCTGGGTAGCAGTAGCCTGGAAAAGGCCTCCAGAGCCTGGAACAGGCCATGGAGGGGACACAGAAGCATTCCCCAGTCTCAAATCCAGGTGGCAGCAGCCTGGAAAAGGCTTTTGGAGCCCAGATTGGGCCACAGAGGAGGCACGGAAGCATTCCCCAGCCTCAAATCTGGGTAGCAGCAGTCTGGAAAAGGCCTCTGGAGCCTGGATTCGGCTGCGGTGGGGCACGGAAGCATCCCCCGGCCATAGATCTGGGTGGCAGCAGCCTGGGAAAGGCCTCTGGAGCCCCAATCCAGCCTCCAGAGGCTCATGGAAGCATTCCCCAGCTTTGGTTTTGTTCTCTGTTGCAGACAACAGAGACCTGAAGTACCATGAGATCACCCAAGATCAATTGTGTGAGATCTCGCCCCACTGATCTTGCGTGATCTTGCGTTACTTTAGGCCTCCATTCTCTGCAAATGCACTGAAGGTCTGGAGCATCCAAGAAAGCGAATGATCTCGATCTTCACAAGTGAGTATTGAAGGCCTGGTATCTAGGGAGACCTGGGGTGGGTGTGGGGAGGGAGGGAATAACCAGGATGAATGTTGTAGAGCCACTGCGGTTGCTCATAAGGGCAAATGACTGCCATGGTGCTGCAATATTCGTAACTTCGGGACTTGCTCATAAGCACTAGGGGATGCTCGTAACTCATGGATTGCCTGCAAAAGACCTCTCACAGAGTCTTGTACTAACTGTTAAAATAGATGCTTGCCTTCTCTTTTCTTTAGAATTTTATACCATTACATTGTGAGTTTTTTTGTTTTTCACCAAGGCTAGGAAATATTCTGCTCAACAACTTTTATTGAAGGATAGTCTACTTCAGCTTTATGTGCTGGCCAATAGGTTACTTCAATCTTGGCTCTGAATCAACTTCTTGTGTTGTGGGAAGTCTTTTGCTACTTCAGTGTAATATTTAGACAACAGCAGTGGCTGTTATCTCATGACTATATTTGGATCATATGCTTTTTATTATGTCAGTTATATGCAGATTACATTAGCAAAATGAAAAAAAAGATTTC